CTCGCTCTCTCGTAGCAGACAGTTGGGTTGGGTGGTTCCTTATGGCAACTCAACAAGCAGCCCATCTCAGAGTGATTTTATTTTCTAATGTGTGGATTTGAACTCATGTGTGTACGTAGGGGGTGCAATGTACATGTGTGTGGAGACCAGGGGTCAATGCCAGGTGTCTTTCTTAATCACTCTCCATCTTATTTTTTGAGACAGGGTCTCTCACTGAGCTGAGGTCTCGGCAATTCAGCTGGCTGGCCGGCAACCTGCAGGGATCCTCCTGTCTCTGTCTTTCCAGGCCTGGATTATAGTGTCATACCCAGGTGTCATACCCAGGTGTCATACCCAGGTGTCATACCCAGGTGTCACACCCAGGTGTCACACCCAGGTGTTAGGGAATGAACTCAAGTCCTTGTGTTTATGGAGCAACCTGTTTACCCACTGAGCCATGTCTCCTGCCCTTACTGGCATTTTAAACATGTCACCAAGATAGTTGCCCTGCCTGTGAGTGTCTCTGCTATCTGCACAGCTGCCTACCTCTCACCTTCTCACCCTGTCAACCCGTTTCCCACCGTGCTTATGACCTGGGGGACACATCCTTTTGAACTGTAGAAGGCAAAGGGACCCTTGCCTTTGGGTCCCAGTTGAAGTTGCCCTCTGGGGATCCTGACGGATGAAGGGAAGGAGTAGCTCATGTCTTCAGCTTTCTCCCCATAGTGACAGAAGAATAAGGTGCTTTCTGGCTGATTCTCAACTCCTCTCAGCATCTCCACATTCTTTAAGCAAGTCTTCCACTTTCCCCTTCGGATTGGTAAAAGCTGTGTTGTCTACTGACTGAGCTACTGCTCTTTTTCAACACCTCTTATGGTCTCCATAGGCCCCATGCATGCTTTCTTTTTTAAGATTTATTTATTTATTATTATATTATGTATGCAATGAGTGTTCAGCCTGCAGGCCAGAAGAGGGCACCAGATCTCATTGTAGATGGTTGTGAGCCATTATGGGGTTGCTGGGAATTGAACTCAGGACCTCTGGAAGAACAGCCAGTGCTCTTAACCTCTGAGCCATTTCTCCACCCCCCCAATGCATGCTTTCATAGACAGCCCTTTACCTAAACATCCTTTGCTTGTTCTAGTATGAAAGTATCCTAAGAACAAAGGTGTTCTGACTCTTGGGAAAGAACACTATAGTAGGAGTTTTTCTGTGTCCTGACTGGTCCCGCAGCCACTCAGACCCAAATAATCACTCAGAAACTTATATTGATTATAACTGTTTGCCCATTATCTCAGACTTATTATTGACTAGCTCTTACACGTGAATTAACTCATAATTCTTACTTATGTTTAGCTATGTGGCTTGGTACCTTTTCTCAGTTCTGTCTTCACATCTTACTTCCTACTGTGTCTGGCTATTGACTCCAGACTCAGCCTTCCTCTTCCCAGAATTCTCCTTGTCTGCTTATCCCATCTATACTTCCTGTCTGGCTACTGGCCAATCAGCATTTTATTTATCAACCAATCAGAGTAACACATTCACAGCATACAGAGCGACATCACCCATCATTTCCTTTTTTATTTCTATTTAAAAGGAAAGTTTTTAACTTCAACATAGTAAAATTACATATAACAAAAGAATAATCAAACAAAAATTACAGTTATAATATCTAGTCTATTTGTATTTGGCAAAATTAAAGAAAATATTTTATCATCTATTCTATGTGAGCCTAGAGTTTTATATCTACCTTTTTTCTTATCATAACAAAGGAAAACCATAATTATAACTATCTAGTCTTCAACTACATCAAAGACCCCAGAAGAATATAATATTATCTAAGCAAACAGAAAGAGCATTGTAAGCAACTTCCAAAAAATTTAGAATGACAGAGACAGCTGGTTACGTGAACAGTTACCCAAAGTTCTTCTGCAACATTGGGGCATCCATTCTTTAGCCTACAGGCCTAGAGTCTTTCAGTCACTTCTCTCAGTGTTCTGTAGAATGCCTGGCAGTTTCTTTTGCAAAGCAGGAACCTGAAAGACCATCTTGTCTTGCAGAACACTAACTGGGATTTGGCACTTCAGACATCTTTTTCTTTAATCTTCAATTATTTTTTCTTCTGGGAAACAAGCTCTGGGCTCAGTCTCCATAGCCTTTCCTCCAAGTTTTACTTTAATTCTATTACACATAAAATTTGTTTTTCCAGGGGATGAAGAGAGCAGGTCTCTTGGAAAAGACCCAATCTGGGCAGCTCTCAGCAGCCTCATTGGCTCATGACCACCTGTGACTCTAACTCTAGGCGATCTGATGCCTCAGGCCTCCACAGTCACTCACACAGACACAGAAACACATATTCACACATCATTAAAGACCAAATAAATAGGTTTTATAATAAAAGGAGCTGCCTTTGGTTCATTCATGCGGGAGATGGTTTATCTTCACAACTATTCCCTGGGTACATTGCTGCCTTTGAGTACTCTACAGTTGGCTGTTGGATCCTATTGGTCCATGGTTCTGTGGAGCCTTGGTGATACACTATTGTTTTTTTCAATGGTAAAATATAATAGTGCTGTAGTCTTGAACTGGGAATTGCAGACTTGTCCATTTCTGCTTTCATTTCTATCAGTTTTTGTTTGGCATATTTTATGGCTTTGTTAGGGTTGCTGTGGGTTAAATGGTCCCTTCAGGACCTATCTATTGTATGTTTTCCGTGGTTACCCTGACAAGGCAATGAGGTCACAAGAGCTCTGACCTCATGAATGGATTAAAGAGATTATGATGAGAGTGGGATAGGTACAGACGAGACAAATCTACTCCCCAATTATATTTGTTTGCCATATGATACCTTTGGCCATGGCATGGCCCATCAGGAATTCCTTTATCAGATGTGATCTTCCAGTCCTCTAAAAACATGAGCCAAATATACTTATCTTGTTTATAATTTCTTCAATCTCTGGTATTTTGTTATAGCAGCAGAAAACAGTTTAAGAACACATGTACACATTTTTATATCTTATACATTTTATATCTAATCATAGGTTCCCATACATTTTTGGTCGGCCAACCCTTTTGTTCCTGTGTAACCTTTTGGGTTTTCCTTGGTAATTTTTTCTGCTTTTAAAGTATATTTAATCTGTTGTTAATATGGCTATTCTTGTTCAGCTTTCTTGTAGCAGGAATCTTAAAAGTTCTTATTAATAAAATCAAACCTGAAGCCAGTTATTGGGGTCAATGCTGGTAGATCAGAGAGACAGAACAAGCCACAGCTATCTCACCTCACCAGTTCCTCAGCTGGTCCTGTTTCCTCAGACTGGAAGCTTCTGTGTCCTCATCCAGAATGAATCTCAGCTGAACTGCTGCTCCAAAGCCTGAAGCTTAACCAGC